CCTCTCAATCGCTTCCGTGTTTTTCTCCCCGCCCGGAAGTGATTGGTTGGCATAGGCAACGTTTTGGTCTATTTTAACGGGGTTCTCTGTCTCTGAATACAAAAATTAAAGGGAATAATTCCTCAAAGGTTTGTTTAACATCTCAATAATCTTTTAATCGGAAAGTGTGTAAATACTATCATATCGATGGTTTTGCTGTAATAATAAGTCATTTGACGCAGTGATGTTGAGAGAATATCGTTAGCAGCTTTAGCTAATGCTCCGCTTAGACAATAAATGACCAACTCGGTAGATCCAAAGCTAAAGTTGGCAAGCTAAAAATGATTGGAATATTCACATAGAGCACATCTGTAGATATAAACCTACCTTAAAATAGTTTTAAAGAGGGTGCCTGTTCATTTTATTATGCTGTTGTATCTCTGGAACCGGATTAGCATCCCTGAAGCTGCTCAGTCAAAACGTAAACAAAAGCTTCCTGCTTAGCTAACGTCAAAAGCTGTTATTCTTCAGAAGCATAGCCCTTCCTAGCATTAGATCATAAATCTTTTAAATAAGATAGACTGGTATTGTGTTCAATTCTAGCAGAAGGTATCTAATACATAGTTCAGATGTTTTATACAGAGCAGGCGAACTAGTAAAAAGACTACACCTAACAGTTTAGCTCAAATGAAACGATTTAGGTATTTTTGTAACTTAAATACATTTGTTAGATTGTATGTGAGTAATAAAATCATTGATACTGTATGTTATTTAGGACTTCAAAACCTTTTCATCCTTTAAACCCACTCACCCCAAGTGGAGCGAGGAGCAAGTAGTACAAACTGCAAACAGGATGACCAGGTCTGGAAAAAGTCGAATCTCTTAAAAATGTCATGCATAAGTGCATGTTAGCTTTAAACACGCCATTGCTTACTAAGCTGCTAATAGTGGTGTTTTTCATGTTTATAAAGCTCATCTGCTCCCAGGATGGTGAACAGTTACAAGAGGACTTCAAGCCCCAGATCACCGACTAACAGTGGAGAGCTTTTCACCCCGGCTCATGAGGAAAATGTGCGCTTTATACATGATAGTAAGTTCTCTGTTCACAATCATTGGTTGAGTTTTGTATTTAAAAACAGACTTTTTATTTTATTTTATTTCTTCTCTGTAGTGACCATTGAACTGGGTCATCAGGTCACTGTTTACATTTCTTCATTTGTTTTTGTTTTAAACCTCCCTCCAGTTTATCCTAAATAACTACATACATTTTCTTTGTTTTTGGAGGGGGTATACTATTATTTATAGATGTACTGTACTTCTACACTATGTTTATGATGTTTTATTGTTTTCTTGACATGCTAACATCAGAAGGTGGAAATACACTCACCGGCCACTTTATTAGGTACACC